AAAAAAGAGAAATAAAAGGAGGAATAAAAGGAGAAATCAAAGGAGGAATAAAAGAAGGAATCAAAGGAATAAAAGGAGGAAAATGAGAGGAAAATGAGAGGGAAAAAAGGAATAAAAGGAGAAAAAAGAGAAATAAAAAGAGAACTAAAAGGAGGAATAAAAGGAGGAATAAAAGGAGGAATAAAAGGAGGAATAAAAGGAGGAATCAAAGGAATAAAAGGAGGAAAATGAGAGGAAAATGAGATGAAAAGAAGGAATCAAAGGAGAAAAAAGAGAAACAAAAAGAAGAATAAACCCCAAGGGTCTCCTCTCACAGCAAGCTGCTGACTCCTCCTCATGTTGACGCTGTCCTGGCTGTTCCTTGGGATGTCATCCAGGGACAGGAACTGCCGGGAAGAGCCCCCAGGTGTCACCCCAGGACAGAGGGACAGCCCTGGGGCAGGAGACGGGAATTCCAACAGGAATCCCTCGGGATTCATTCCCTCACCTCCTTCTCCTTGTCCCCGAAGGTGGCGTCGGCATCCCGGCCGTCGGGGCCCAGGGAAGTGGGGAGCTTCTCCCTCCTGGGGAAAAATGGGATTAAAATCCGTGGGAATGGTGGGAAAATCCCAAAGGAACGATGTTTGTGTCGGTGTGAAAGCCCCAAAGGAGCTGGCAGCACGCTCCAAAGGGATTTTCCCTCTGGAAAAGGCTCCCTCGGGGTGTTTTGGGGTGACAAGTGAAGCAGGAGGAAAAAGCAGCCCTGGTTTTGGGGGTTATCCCGGGGGTGTCATTCCAGAGGTTGGGAATGGGAGTGGGGATGGACTGGGATGGACACAGAGCTGGGATCCTGCGGGAAAATTCCATCTGGGAATGGGAAAATTCCACCCTGGGAGGGGAAATTCCAGCTGGGAATGGGAAAAATCCATCCTGGGAGGGGAAAATTCCACCCTGGGAGGGGAAAATTCCATCCTGGGAGGGGAAAATTCCATCCTGGGAAGGGAAAATTCCATCCTGGGAGGGGAAATTCCATTCTGGGAATGGGAAAAATCCCTCCTGGGAGGGGAAATTCCATCTGGGAATGGGAAAATTCCATCCTGGGAGGGGAAAATTCCATCCTGGGAGGGGAAATTCCATTCTGGGAATGGGAAAAATCCCTCCTGGGAAGGGAAAATTCCATCCTGGGAAGGGAAAATTCCATCCTGGGAGGGGAAAATTCCATCTGGGAAGGGAAAATTCCACCCTGGGAAGGGGAAAATTCCATCCTGGGAGGGGAAATTCCATCTGGGAATGGGAAAATTCCATCCTGGGAGGGGAAAATTCCATCCTGGGAGGGGAAAATTCCATCCTGGGAAGGGAAAATTCCATTCTGGGAAGTGGAAATTCCCTCATTGGAAGGGAAAATTTCTCCCTGGAAAGGGGAAATTCCATTCAGGAAAGGGAAATTCCATCCTGGGAAGGGAAAATTCCATCCTGGGAATGGGAAAATTCCTCCCTGGGAAGGGAAAATTCCATCCTGGGAATGGGAAAATTCCACCCTGGGAGGGGAAATTCCATCTGGGAATGGGAAAATTCCATCCTGGGAAGGGGAAATTCCCTCATTGGAAGGGAAAATTCTTCCCTGGGAAGGGAAAATTCCATCCTGGGAGGGGAAATTCCATCCTGGGAAGGGAAAATTCCATCCTGGGAAGGGAAAATTCCACCCTGGGAAGGGAAAATTCCATCCTGGAAGGGAAAATTCCATCCTGGGAAGGGAAAATTCCACTCAGGGAAGGGAAAAGCCCACTCACCTTTTGTTGGAGATGCCATCCAGTGTCTGGCAGACCAGCATGTAGAGATATTCCACCTGGAAAACAGCAGCTGGAGCTGGGAAAGGGGGAAGCAGCTCCTGGAAAAGCCTCCTCCCATCATGGAGAACAATTCCATGGGGTTTTCTTGCTCTTTTCCAAGGCCAGGCTCGGGGGAAATCCCTGGAATTTGGAGCAGCCTGGGACAGTGGGAGGTGTCCCTGCCCCTGGTGGCACTGGAGGAGCTCTGTTCCCACCCAAAATCCGGGATTTTGTGCTCAGAAAATCCCAATATCCCAGGATTTTGTGACAAAACAGGACTTCATATCCCACCCTCAAGGAAAAAAAAAAAAACCCAGAGCAACAAAATTCCTGCTGTTCCCCGGGGTCAAAACAGCCCCAAAAAGATCAGACGGTGAAACCCCTCCGTTCCCAGGAAGGGGAAACTCCAGGCAGGATTTGAAGGGAAGGGGGAACTGTGGGGTGACCCCAGGGATTTGGGGTGCCTCAGGGGTGCTGGGTCAGGGCTGGCAGCAGGATTTGGGGGTGAGGATCCGCTCACCTTCCTGCTGTAGATGCAGGCGGATCCCTGGATCAGCAGCGCCGCCTCCATGAAGTTCATGGTGGTTTTGCCGTTGTCGAAGGAAATGCAGATGTGATCCAGCTGGGAATGGCAGGGGATGAGCCCAGAGGGGTCTGGGGGGGCTCAGGGACGATGGGGGTGAGGGGGACACCCCGATACCTCCTCCAGGTACTCCCCGAGCTGCGCCGCCACGTCCACCTCCCAGTTCTGGGTGAGGTCCCGGATGGGCTGCAGCAGGTGCAGGAAACGGGAATCCACCTCCTCCATGCTGGGATCCTGTCCTGGATCCGCTCCGGGGGAGGGATCCCGCGGGAAATGGGGATCTGGGGGGGTGGGGAGGGAGGGGGAGCTGGGGGAGTCACGGGGAGGCTGTGGGGAAACGGGGAGAGAGAGACAGGGAAGGGTTTGGGGTGGGAAATGCACAGCCCAGTGCTGGCCCTGATCACAGTTACAAACTGATCCCAATCCCACACTGATCCCAGTTACAAACTGATCCCAATCCCAAACTGATCCCAATCCCCAATCCCAATCACAAACTGATCCCAATTCCAAACTGATCCCAATCCCACATTGATCCCAATCCCACACTGATCCCAATCCCAAACTGATCCCAATCCCAAACTGATCCCAATCCCACACTGATCCCAATC